GGGTTGATAATCTTCCAGTGGAGAAATGGACGAGGTCATATGACAATGGACAATGATGGGGCCATATGACAACAAATCTTATTGGATCAATAATGTCTTCAAAGGCATACAAAACCTCCCAAAATCCGCTTGGTTGAAATCAACATATTTTAGAATGGCTTCGTTGTTTGAAAAAAGAGGTGAAATATGGAACGCGGTATTACAATCAGACAACTATGGAGTGAAAGTTGTGTGGAATTTATTAAGGTAGGAAGTTCCAGAGCCAACATTCATCATGTTACAAGATTCGACCGGCATAACCACAACTTTATTGTCAAAGAGACACTCGACCACAACGAGGGGCTGCCAAGACAAGATTATAGGGTTATACTACCATCTCGTTGGGGCGATTGTGAAAAGTTTCAAGCCTTTTCCATGCCTTTCTCTCATGTCATTGCGGCATGTACGTATGCTCATCAAGACACATTACTACTTCTATCTCCCATTTACAAGGCCGAGACCTTGCTCAACGTATACAACAATGACTTTTCAGTGGTAGCAAAACCATATTATTGGCCTGCGTACGAAGGGGAAATAGTTTAACATAACGATCAAATACGAAGGAATAAAAAGGGTCGTCCCAAAAGCAAGCATATCACAACTGAAATGGACTCGCTTGGCAAGCTAGAAAGAAAGTGTGGTTTATATCGTCAGTTCAGACACAACTGAAAAAATTTCCCCACTCGTGCTACTATCTCGACAACATAAAAATTATATTCACAATATCTGTACTTTTTTTAAATCTCAATGAAATGTTTTTCATTACGAACATTTGTTACAACATACCAAACACAAACAAGACATAAAATGCCATCACGACTAAAACAACAACACAAATACCAGATAAACCAACAATACATACACAGCATAAAAATAATATCAACAACACAACAACATATCTAAGAATTACAACCGTAAAAACAATTTCATCATATCCGTGCATCATCACCATTACGTCTCTGTCTGTTTTGACTTCCTCCAACCAACAATGAGGTCTTTCACTTGCAAGTGAGGTGACTATTCTTCTTCTCTGGATCCTTCAAATTTGTTCGTCATCTTTGATGTCTCTGTCTAACCATCACATCAACTATCTCTTCAGACGCTCCATGGAATGAATGTGCCAAATTTTCATTTTCATCGGAGGTTTGGTGGCCGAGAAAATAACGTACCCATTTCTCATGAAAATTATGAAAGATGTCATGACACAAAAAATTAAGAGAAAATGAGAAGAGAATGTGAGAAAGTGTGAAGAATATTGGAGAAATATGTGTTTTATTTATAGAAAACACAATTGCGTGTAGGAGTCATCTCAGATGACGCCTCCTCTCACAAATCTAGAGCATGCGTCATCTCATATGGCTTGAGGGCAGTGTATAAGCCATGTGGGATGACGCCTAAGGCCAAACTTCAAGTGGATGCACCATCTCATTTGACTCCTGCGTGTTAACGTTTTTCGAAACATGATTATTTGCGTAATTTTCTCTCAAACGTGATTATTTGTGTTTTTTTAATACCTGGTTATTGCAAAAAAAATACATACATTGATAGTGTAAAATATTTTTTCACTGGCATTAAGTTGTAACCGTTAGATCTTAAGTTATACTTCCTCTATCTCAAAATAATAGTCGTTTAAAGTTGTTACACAGAAATTAAGAAAAATAATTATTGAGTCAATAAAAATAACATCTTTATAAAATTAATTTTTTATTACTATTGATTGTAATATATTGTCAATTGATAAAAATTAATTATAATTATATTGGAAAAGTAAAAAGACTATTATTTTAAAATAATTTTTTTAATTTAGAAAAACAATTATTTTAAAACAGAATAAGTATTTGACTTTTATTTTAATTTCACTTATATCAACCCAGTCATATTTCTTTTATTTTCAAAGAAATCACTCTCTAAATCATTTCTATAAAATAAACTCCCAATTTTTCAATCAAACTATCATTTTTCAACAATGTGTTTGATTTTTTTTCTTTCTTAAATTCATGTTTTTTTAAATGACTAAGTGTCTGTTTGTCATCACGTTTTTCCATGCCTCAACACAAGTTTTCTTAGCACTCCGTAAAAAATTTACCTAAACACATGCTAAATTTGCTCTTCATCTTCCCATAGAAGTAGAATCCATGCTAAATTTGCTCGTCATCTTCCCATAAGTAAAATCCATGAACTCTTATTTTGTGTGGTGTTCTAAATGCTAGGGGTGAACATGCGGTCGGATCCGGTCTGATTCGGCTGAAAAATCTCAATCTGAAAAGAATCGTGGGTTGTAATATGACATCTAATTTTGTCTGTTATTTAAACGGTTTGATCGGATGACGAGTGAATCGGATTGCAGTTAGTTTCAGATAATTTATTTCGGGTCTTCAAAGTCTTGTCATTTCTATCAAACCACAAAAAGTTAAAAGAAGAGAAAAATGATATTATTTTGAATGTGAATGTAATGTTAAATACTCTTTTTCTTTGCTCCAATTTCAGTCTATTTCTAAATTGAAGATAAATTTCTCTGCAACCACTCAAAATAGAGGCTCATGAGCAAAATTTGTTTGATAAAGATTATCCTTTAACTCTCCTATTTGTTCTTGAAATCATATACTTCATCTTAACCAACTCAAAATAGAGTGGAAAAAGAAGCAGAAATGAAAAAGGGAGAGAAAAGTATAAGAGTAAAAATAACACTACAGAGAGATAATTTTTTTGTGTTACTTATCAATATTAAGATAAAATAATGTTGTGAAATCAAAATGATTTTTAAAGATAAAAGAAGAATGAAAATTGTAGTCGAAAAAGGAAATGTAAATTTTAAGAAGAGATGTGACAAATCACTTACACAACATCATTAATAATAAGTTGTAATAATTATGTATACTCCTATATTAGTAGGCTAGTATTACAATATATTGTGCTTTGTCAGTTTACATTAGAGAAAAATTTTGTATAATATTTCTCACATGTACTATTATTTATTGGAATAAAATTTGTACGTGTTGCGGTCGATTTTAAATTACAGTAAATGAAAATTTTCAATCTGATTTTACCCTATACTACCCACCATAAACTGCATGAAGTGAACCGCTTACCTGCAAACCCAAAATAAACCAACCAAATTATTATTTTAGTTATCAGATAAAGCTGTCTGGGTCTGACAACGATTTTTTATCCACCCCTACTAAACGCAATAAACTTTCTACTTTATGAAAGAGAGGCATGTGAAGCACGAGTTTCATAAAAAATATATATTTTTATTAATTCTACAATATTAAAAAGCAGAGTTGTTTGCTGAAATTAGGTTAATGATGTGGATAACTGGATGTGGGGCATAACACTGTATGTTTCCTCAATTCTTATCTCTCATCACATGGCTAGTCAGTACTCAGTACAATAAAGGAAACCTGGGTAACAGTAGTGTCGGTATACTTTGCATTCAAAGGGAATCTCAAAAATATTTGGTCACGTGACTGTAAATCATATTGCACGTAATGTGTGCTATATAAAAATAAATAATCATACTAGTGCTTTCTTTGGATAACATTTAAGAAATGAAACTGTATATTAATATACGCGCCCCGTCAACCTACTTTAGTACCTACATTGCTACTGTTACAAATAAAGAAAAGTTATAAAAGAATCATATACTTAAGGGCTATTTTGTCATTCAGCAAAAATATGATGGGAATCTCTTCCATTCTTTTCAATCCAGCGGGAGACATTTAAGGTATGGGCCATTCCACGTCCTTTTTTTCCCCCTTTTAAAATAGGTGTCCTTTAAAGTTTTTCAAACAGATTAAAGAATATATTTATATTATTATAAAATATTATATTTTTACTAAATTAATTTTATTAATTTATTAGAATTAGTACACAGAATAATAATTATAAAATATAATTTAAAAAATAATTATCATTATCATTTTAAAAAATGAGAATAATATTTATTTTAAAATAAATATTTTTTTCTAAAATAACACTTATTTTAAAACAAAGAGATTATATTTTTCAAATAAAATGAAAATTATAATATCTTTATAAAATATTAATTTATAACTGAAAATAATTTTTAAATGAAAATACAGTTAAAATACCATTTAAAAAACAATTTTTTTGTTAATTTTTTATTTAAAAATAAGTTAAACTTAAACAATTTATATTTGAATACATTTGAAATAAAAATAAATAATACAATCAAAATTAATATAAAAATTACATTTTAAAAAATCTCAATTTTAGTTTCAAATTAAAATTAAATCTAATACTTTTTTTGACTTATTACTCTTTTTTGTTTGATAATAATTTTGAAATTCATTTTAATTTTTTAATTTATATATATATATATATATATATATATATATATATATATATATATATATATATATATATATATATATATATATATATATATATATATATATATATATATATATATATATATATATATATATATATATATATATATATATATATATATATATATATATATATATATATATATATATATATATATATATATATATATATATATATATATATATATATATATATATATATATATATATATATATGTAGTTCTTTAAAATATATCACATATTCTTTTTTGTTAAATGAGTGATAAAATAACTAAAAAATTTATATTTAAATTTGTGGTTAATTAGATAAAAAGATTAATATGATATATTTTTAAAAATTTAAAGTTTAATGTAAATTTTTTTTAAAATTAAATGACCAAAATAAATTGGAGATTAATATTCAAAACCAAAAATCAAAATTATTCTACTCAAAATATACAAAAAAAAAATGTCAATACATTTTATATTTCTAGAATCAATCTGGCTAAAAATGTAAAAGCAAGCATAGATTAATAATTACATGAATAAAATAATTGAAGCTCAAAGTCATGTTTACTAGTATATATAAGAGATCCATCCTAAGCAATGAAAGCACCAAAACACATAACAATGAATCCCCTTCTATCTCTCATCCTTTCCTTCCTTCTCTTGACTTTCATCACCAATCTTCCATCAAACACCGCTGCTCCTTCTCAAGTTGTAGACACTAACGGTAACCCCCTTACCCATGGCAACCAATACTTCATTTTTCCAGCAAGTGACAACCCTAATACCGGAGGACTAACCCTAAACAAAGTCTCTGACTCTGAATGTCCACTAACCGTCCTCCAAAACAACGCTAACCTTGGCATCCCAGTCAAATTCACCATACCAGAAAGCACCACTGGTACCATCTTAACCGGTACTGATCTTGAAATCGAGTTCACTGAGAAACCTAACTGCGCTGAATCATCAAAATGGTTGCTGTTTGTTGATAACACCACTCAACTGAACTGTGTTGGTATTGGTGGTCCTGAAAACTATCTTGGTGTTGAAACTGTTAGTGGAAAGTTTTTGATAGCGAAACATGGATCTGGAGGTGTTTATAGGCTTGGGTTTTGTTTGGATAATGATGGTGATTGTGGTTATCTTGGACTGAAAGTGTTTGGTGGCGAAGAAGGTGGATCAAGGTTGATTTTAACTGTAACTGATCCTTATTCTGTTGTGTTTGTTGATGCTGCTGTTAAATCTGTTGCAGCTGCTGAAATTAGTAACATGCGTTAGGTTTAGCTATGGTTTAATGAATAAGTGGAGCAGTTTGTATTAATTTTATAATTAATATATGATTGCACACTTGCTTTCTTGGAGTTTATCCTATATTCCAATTTTCCACCAACACATATTTTCATTGTTAGAGTTTTTCGGTTTAAAAGTTATATTATTCTATTTGTCACCTAACGAGTGTGGAAATATAATATAATTTATTTAATTGTGATATTTAATTAATATTGAAGAGTGGAAATGATTTATGTAAGTATATTATTCAAAATGTGGCCCTCACAGAAAATTATTATTCCATTTGTCCCATAACATGTGTGGAAATATAATAATAATTTATTTAATAATGATATTTAATTAATATTAAAGAGTGGAAACAAATTTTGTAAGTCTATTATTCAAAATGTGGTCCTCATGGCAAATATTATTCCATTTATCGCATAAGAAGGACCAAATTTATAAATATATTATTATTCATTTGTCGCATTCTTCATTTAGTATTAATGTTCAAATCAATGTTAGGAAACTTTCATTGCTTTCCATTTTCATTGTTTGAAATCACGAGTCCTATCAACTGTGAGCTCTGGTTGTTGTTCATCCGCTCTGAAACAAAAGAGCTCTGAAAATTTTGATTTTAAGGTATGCACAACTTTCAATATGTGATGAAAACTTAGATGTCGTTGTGGAGACATAGTTGTTCTTTGCATGACAACAATATTTAGCAATTTTGAAAAATATTTTTGAGATTGTCCACATTTTAAGGTAAAATTTCTTAAAATGCTTTCATTGTTGACAACTTCGTGTATAACGTTGTTCTTTTGTTTCTTGATTTACACATGGATCTATTCAAGCTGGATGTGGTTTTTTTTATTTGTTCTATGAGGATGTGGGAGATGAGAAATACCAATTTTTAATGAAGCAAAAATATAGATTGAAAAAGTTAACAAAGAAAATGCATGCAGTAAAAATGAAAGTTGAAAAGCTAAGGGTGACAAATGTGCAACAAAAGACAGATCTATTTGAACTTCAAATTTAAATAAAGAACATTATGAATTAGAAGAATTTTTGGAAGATAAAGTTGGTGTAATGTCTGCTTATTATGACAAAAGTTTTTTCTTGTTTTTGGAAGATATTCTTTTATACTAGAATAACATAATTCAACATAACTTATTATACTAGAAATGCATAATTAAACATTTGTCATAAATATAAATTACACCAATTTGTTCAGAATACATAAACATATTTTCTATATGTTCTAACAGACATTATGCCAACATTAAGATATACATACAAAAAGAACTATGTAGGTTCTAATTAAACATAAATGGACTCCTTGTTCAAAATACAAAATAAAACATTCATCGGACAAATCTTAAATATGCTAAATGATCTTCTTGATTGGAGTTATCTTCTTTGTTTGGGTACTTCTTCTTGTAGTTAGACCAACCACATTCTTTGTTGCCCTTAATCTAGTTGTAAGTCATGGGATTACTGTTAAACTGATACGTAAATCTCATATTATTTTCTTTTTTTGCATCTTTTACAGGAGAGGAATAGGTTATACTTATATACATAGAAAATTCTATTTCTAATTATAACCAAATCAGAATAATTAACAAATAATAACTCTATTCCTATTATAATTCCTAAAACCATGCTGACAGCTAATGCCAACACTCCCCCTCAAGTTGGTGCATAGAGATCTCGAATGCCCAACTTGTCAAGTGCGTTGTAGAAGTCTCTGCTACATACAGCTTTTGTGAGTATATCTGCTAATTGATCTTCAGATTTAACAAACGGAAATTGAATTATCTTGGTCTCCAAATTTTGCTTAATAAAGTGTCGATCTACTTCCACGTGTTTTGTCCGATCATGTTGGACCGGATTATGAGCAATTTCAATTGAAGACTTGTTGTCACAAAAAAGGTTCATGGCATTATTCGGAGCATGGCCAATTTCACTTAACAGTCTTCGAAGCCAGAGAAGCTCACAAAGACCTTTAGCCATCCCTCGAAACTCTGCTTCGGCACTTGATAATGCTACAACCTTTTGTTTCTTACTTTTCCATGTAACCAAATTTCCTCCAACAAATGTAAAATAGCCTGAGGTGGATTTCCTGTTGGTGATATCTCCTGCCCAATCAGCGTCTGTATAGCCTTCAACTTGTACATGATTATTCTTTGTGAACATCAAGCCTTTTCCAGGCGAGGACTTCAGATACCGCATGATTCGGATTACCGCGTCCATGTGATCTTTACTCGAGTTATGCATAAATTGGCTTACTACACTTACCGCATACGCTATATCAGGTCGTGTATGAGATAAATAAATAAGTTTGCCAACTAATCTCTGGTACCTTCCTTTGTCTGTTGACACTTGCTCTGGATATTCTCCAAGTCGGTGATTCTGGACAATTGAAGTGTCTACAGGTTTATAGTCTAGTAGCCCAACCTATGATAAAAGATCCAGGATATATTTTCGTTGAGATAGAAAGATGCCTTTCTTCGACCTAGCAACTTCGATACCTAGGAAATATTTGAGTCCACCTAGATTTTTCATCTCAAATTCGGTTGCCAGTTGTGTTTGAAGTTTTGCTATTTCCTCAGAGTCATCTCCCGTAATAATCATATCATCTACATACACAATCAAGGTCGTGACCTTACCTTGACGATGTTTCAAGAACAACGTATGATCAGCGTTGCTTTGTTGGAAGCCATAATTTTTCATTGCCAAGTTCAATCTCCCAAACCACGCTCTAGGAGATTGCTTCAAGTCGTACAAACTGCGTTGTAATTTACACACTACCTTCGTTTCATAATTTGTCATGTATCCCGGAGGGATATCCATATATATTTCTTCTTTCAAGTGCCCATGGAGAAAGGCATTTTTTACGTCTAACTGATGCAAAGGCCAATCAAGATTTACTGCAAGGGATAAAAGAACTCTGACAGTGCTTAACTTGGCAACAGGTGAAAAAGTTTCTTGATAGTCTACGCCATATGTTTGAGTAAAGCCTTTAGCTACTAGTCTTGCTTTGTACCTTTCAATAGACCCATCAACTTTGTACTTGATAGAGAAAACCCACTTACACCCTACTGATTTCTTCCCTTTTGGCAAAGGAACAAGAGTCCATGTTGCACTCTTGTTTAATGCCTCCATTTCTTCATTCATAGCTTGAACCCATCTAGGGTCTTCAATGGCCTCTTCAACCTTGCTAGGTACACTGTGTGAAGATAGCTCATTTGAAAACTTCTTAAGGGGTTCGGACAAGTCCTTCATAGAGACATAATTAGCAATTGGATACCTCGATCTATGATCCTCTTCTTCAGGGGAGTATCGCTTCGGTGGTTTTCCCCGATTATGCCTGCGCGGTAATTCATATCTAACAGAGATATCACCATTATTATTATTAGGAGATATAGGAGAGCTTACCTCAATGATATTCTCAGGAGATGGATCGTTCGGTACTGGAGAGGGGGGAATTCCGATACTTCAACTTCAGGACTCATATGATCGGTTTGAGTTTGACCAGAATCATCACAAGCTTCAGTTGATGATATATCAATATCCTTGAACCAGTCAAATGTTGACCAATTCGACTCTTCTCTTGGTGTCTCCCCCTGAAGAGAAGAATTGGATGATGCCGAGGAGTAGAAATGGTTGAATTCCAAGAATGTAACATCCATTGTTACATACATGCGTCGAGTAATGGGGTCATAGCAACGATACCCTTTCTGGTGTACACCATACCCCAAAAAAAGGCAGTGAATGGCACAAGGATCAAGCTTTGTACGCTGGTTTTTATGTAGGTGAACAAACGCAACACAACCAAAGATTCGAGGTGGCAACATTTGTATTGTAGGCAGTGGTACAAGTGTCGACAAGGTCTGCAGTGGAGTTTTAAAGTTAAGAACCTTTGATGGCATCCGATTAATGAGATATACTGCTGTAGTAACAGCATCAATCCAATGGTGGTGAGGCACATGTGCTCCATGTAAGAGAGCACGAGCAGTTTCAAGGATGTGACGATTTTTCCGTTCTGCAATATCATTTTGTTGTGGAGTTTGTGGACACGTGGTTTCATGAATAAGACCGTGTTTTTTGAAATACCCATGGAATTGGTGGTTTACAAACTCCCCACCATTATCAGAGCGAAGGATCCGAATCTTCTTTGAATATTGAGTTTGAATCATTTTATGGAATTGTTGAAATATGTGCAACACTTCATTTTTTTGTTTCAACAAATAAATCCAAGTCATTCGAGTGCAATCATCAACAAATATCACAAACCACCGATAACCAGAGAGAGAAGATTTTGGGGATGGACCCCATACATCAGAATGGATTAAAGCAAAAGGAACATTACCTTTATTCATACTTAATGGAAAAGTGACTCGATGACTCTTGGCTAAAATACAAGCTTCACATTTGAAGTTCAACAAAGATGTATCTGAAAATAAATTTGGGAACACATGCTTCAAATATCCAAACGAAGGATGGCCTAATCGACGATGCCAAAGTAAAACTTGCTCCATTTTATTGTTTCTTGGATAATGCATGTGATGCGCTCGGCCAACACTAAAATCCTCCATATAGTAGAGTCCCCCTCACTTAGTACCACGCCCAATGATCTCCTTCGTGAGAATATCCTGAAGGAAACAGAAAGATGGATAAATTAGCACAATACAATTCAAGTCTTTTGTAACTTGACTCACGAACAGCAGCTTATGAGATAGAGAGGGAACAAGTAGTGTATTTGAAAGCAAGAGGGCTGGTGATAACATCACAGTTCCAGCCCCTGTTACTGGGGATAAACCACCATTTGCATTGGCAATACTTGAGCGCCGAGGGGCTGAACGTTCAGAAAAATCAGCAGCATCAAACGTCATATGATCGGTCGCTCCGGAATCAAGTATCCATGCATTAGAGGCATCATCATGATTAGAGCAAATTAGAACATTACCTTCACTGGTGTGGGAACTTGATTTCGGGATGAGGGAAAGATGTGGTTCGGCAGTAGCTACTGCAGCTTTTCCCGAGTTGCTATCAGTTGTATCGCGGCGCTTTCGAGTCTGAAATTCTGTCCACCAATCTGGATAGCCATGAAGTTTAAAACAGGTATCTCGAGTATGTTTGTTACCTCCACAATGAGAACACTTAGTGCCATCAGATGATTCTTTATGTTTGGTTTGAGAGAATATCTTGCTGCTCTGTAATTTGAGACCCTTAGATGCGAGAACTGCTCCAGATAATTCATTGGAGTTGTCTGTCATCACTGCCTGACGAAGTGCTTCCCTCCTAACATGTGCATATGCTTGCTCCACGGTTGGAAATGGTTTCATTTGTAAAACATCGCTTCTGATATTATCTAAGCGGTCATCAAGTCCATCCAAAAAACCATACACTCGTTCTTCTTGGACAAGTGTATTGTAGTGTTGGATATCAACTCGACATGTCATCGGATTTGGACGTCGGAAATCTATCTCACGCCAAAGTCCTTGGAGATCGTTATAATATTTTTCAAGAGAACCACCGGCTTGTTTAAGACGTGTCACCCGTCGCCTAAGGTCATACACCTGCGAGGTATCGCTACCATCAAAGTATGTGGTCGCAATTGCATCTCACACCAGTTTGGCAGTGGAGAATCGAATAAAGTTGCTGATTAGAGAATAGTCCATTGAGTTGATTATCCATCCCTTAACAATCGCGTTGTCAGTCCGCCAACGTCGAAAGGTAGGATCTGTTTGAGGGGGTTGCGGAAGATCTCCATTGATATATCCCAGTTTGTCTTTGCCGGAGATATACATCTCGACCACCTGGGACCAAAGGGGATAGTTGCTGTCATCTAACTTGATGCCAATCGGTGCCAACGTATGGTCAGAACTAATCTATGACGGGGCTGAAGCGCGGTTCAAAACTTCCGTCATTTTCTTCGTCAACTCAGCAAGAATAGAAGTCGAGGTAGCATCATCGGAGATTGAATCTGAGTCGGCCATGGAAGACGGGTGGAAGGTGTTACCGTAGGTCAGGGTTAAGACCTGGCGGCTGATACCATGTTAAACTGATACGTAAATCTCATATTATTTTCTTTTTTTGTATCTCTTACAGGAGAGGAATAGGTTATACTTATATACATAGAAAATCCTATTTCTAATTATGACCAAATCAGAATAATTAACAAATAATAACTCTATTCCTATTATAATTCCTAAAACCATGCTGACAGTTAATGCCAACAGTTACATCTGATGTTGATGCTCTCCTAACACTCAACTTCTTTTCCATTTGTTGATTAGCTTGTAATGATTGAGAAACTTGACTTCTCTGAGTTGGGGGAGTAGCTTGTGTTTGTTAACTTGTTTGACTGTAATGACTTGGTTGAGTTTGTTTATTAACTTAACTTGGTTGACTTGGTTGAGTAGTTGGTGTCATCTTACAAGTAGATTTGTTGTGACATTGCTGCTTGCACTTAATGAACTTTATAATTAAGCTCGTTCTTCTCATTTCTTGATCAGAGCCATCAATCTCCCCTTGCTCAAGATTCCTCCTCTTCTTTAGTCTTTCAAGTATTTTTCTATAATTTGGTGGTTAGACATCTGGATATTTTGTTCAGACCCACATATTTGATCCATTTACGAGATAGATCACAAGATTGTAGACTGATATATACCTTGCTTTGTTGTAATATCTAATGCACATTTGTCATCAACCAAAGTATTCATCACAACTGTGGAATCCTTGTAATTATTATATCTATTTCAATATAACCTAACTCCATTAGTACACCTACTAACTAAAAAAACTTCACTTGTCAACATCTTTTTTTAAATCTTGAACTCTTCCTACTTCGTATACAGATAAATCATTATTAATGAATTCACCACCACAATGAATTATCAGATGGAAATGTTCTTCCACTTCTACCTATTTTCAGCAAATATGAAATTATAATAGGTTTTAAAATATCATGATATCATATTAACTCCTAAGACATCAAACGATAAACCCTGACATATGGAAAGAAATTAGTGAAGCATAAAGTCACTAACGGAAAGATTTTTGCTAGGTAGAATCAACCTTGTAGATGACGAGTGAACACGCCGAGCAAAAAAATCTTGTTAGGAAATGAGGCTTATGCTAAAGTAAAAATCAAGCTTACTATAACCTGCCCATGCCCGAATAGACAGGGTATAGCCATGATGGATTTGTTCACCTTCATAAGGCACTCCCAAACAATTACCAAGTTCTGCTAAAGTCATTCCAATCTTAAGACCTCTAACTTTTGTATGAAAGGCACAACCAGGTTGAATAGACAAATAAGCATAAAAACCTCTAACTAAGTCTGGATAATAAGGTCCATATTCAGAGACAAAACCATTGACATGTTGGTATTCGAACAAAGCTGGAAAATTGAAGCTACAAGAGGGAAAGGTTGTCAAATTAACATACTTAGGAATGATGATGGACATTATCCTGAAACCTGACAACAATCTTCTTTGCTTCATAAAAGGTTCTTGAGGAATTGATTCTTGTTCAACAACTCCAGAAGCATTCTCTCCTACCCGAGCCTTGCATCTATTTTCCCTTGAAGGTACCATGGATGATGGTTTGATAGATATGGAGGTTAGGATTTTGGTATTTTCAGATTTGGGCTTCCTGGAGTAAATAAGTTCTTTTGATAAGTGCTTATTTGGTTTGAAGGTGAGAAGTTTATTGTATAATGGGTTTATGAGAGTGGGATTTTAATGAGATTATGTTGGTAAGTGAAAAGGTGTAAGTGGGTAGTAAATGATGAGGTTGAATGATGATGATTCCCAAGAAGAGTAGGTGGAAGAGTGAGAAAGAGAAAATGAATTTTGATAAACAAATAAACCATTCAAACACAAATTAAATGAGAAAGTTGAAAAGAAAACAAAATTTTGAACTGGTAATCACATATACTATGGGTTGTAATCGATTATGGGCCTATGAATCAGCCTAGAAAATGAAAAAAAATGTGCTGGTAATCGATTACCTAGATACATGTAATCGATTACAACATAAATTATTTGCCAAATACAAAAAATAGTAGCCATGGCATGAAAATTTAGGCAATTTTAATCACATAAAAAAATCATAGATCATGTAGATAACATGTTTAGGCATCATATAGGCATATAACATAGACGTAAACCTTATTATATAAGAGTTTCCCTCATGAATTTGTGAAAAATCATGAAAAATAAAACATCAATAAATATGTGTACCGTTCACCATACGTCTTTTTCATACATAATTATCAATTCTCGACGGATTTTGTAGAAAGGATCTTTATCCAAAGGTTTAGTGAAGATATCAGTTAGTTGATTATGAGTGTCCACGAATGTAACTTTGACATCTCCTTGAATCACATGATAATAGAGAAAATGATGCTGAATATCAATATGTTTGGTTCTTGAGTGCATGACCAGAATTTTTGTAATATTAATCCCAATTGTGTTGTCACAATGTAGAGGGATGCATCCGAGATCAAGTTCATAGTCATAAAGTTATTGTTTAAGCCAAAGTATTTATGCACAACAACTACATGCTGCTATGTATTCTGCTTCAGTCGTGCTCAGAGCAACACATGTTTGCTTCTTGAAAGACCATGATATTAAAGCATTCCATATTATGTGACATGTACTACATGGATTGGTTGATGAAGATTCCATTCTTTAATTACTTAGTTTGTAGTCCAATAAGAATATTTCATCTTACCTATCATAGAAATCTCGAATTCTCCTTGCATCATCGAAGAAAATTTTTCACATAGATCTTTGTTTGTTGAGCCGAATATTATGTCGTCAAAAAAGACTTGAACCAATAAAGTGTTACCTTTTATTTTCTTAATGAACAAGGTCTTATCAACTTTACCTTTTACAAAACCTTTTCACAAAGAAAGATGCTAAGTCTATCACACCATGCTCTTGGTGCTTTCTTTAAGCCATAAAGAGTTTTCTTCAATTTAAAGACTTGTGAAGGATTCTTGAAGTCTTCAAAAACCCGGAGGTTGTTTGAGATAGACTTCCTCATTGATGTAACCATTCAAGAAAGCGCTCTTAACGTCCATTTGGAAAAGCTCAAAATTTAATGAACAAGCATAAGCAAGTAATAAACTGTTGTACCCCAAAATTTGCCCTCTCATTTTATCAAGATTTCCCCTCACAAGACTCTTTGAACTCAAGACCAAGCTAGGGTTTGCTCTGCTCAAGATATCTCCTTGCACTGTTGACTTGAAATTAGGGTTTGAGTTTGCACAGGGATTTTTGGACTTTCAATGCTCAAAGTGACTTTCATACTTCATGTTGGACTTATAAGATTGCCTCCACCAAGTTTCAAGCCTTGAATCAAATTTTTGCCCAGTCAATTGGACAGTTGACCTAGAAATCAGTTGTATTGGAGAAAAAGTCAACTGTGGCCAATTTAAAGTCAAACCTCATAATTTTTTATCCACATCAATATTATAGGCTCATATGAACCATTTGATCAAGTTTGGACCACAACTCCTCAAGAAATTTGATCAGATCATCAAAAGGGCAAAATGGTCATTTTTAGGGTTTTGACTGTATAAGGGCAATTTCTGATTTTTCACCTAGCCAATGGCAAATTGGGTTCAAGTATGGATTCAAGGACTCAATGGAATCATCTTGTCCTACTCACAAGGTTCAAAAGATCTCAAATGCATTGCATTGACAGATGAATTTTTCAGTCAACTGATCAAAAATTGACTGTACACTGAAAAGTCAAACTTTGACTTTTTGGTCAAAATCAAGTGCCAAGGGTCATTTTTCATCAAGATGAGTCAAAACATGAAACTTGTTCATCAAGAAACCTAATTTTGCAAATTAGGGTTAAAGATTGAAAAATTTAATAACTTAGAATTTTTCTAAGTTATGAAATTTTCTTATTTTTTCCCAACTTTGCCCAACATTTTCACCATAATGTAATTGGATTCAAACAAAACTTCCAACATGAAAGTTGTATTCCTCCACAAAATATACAACTTTGATTCACAAAGTTTTCCCAAAAGAAGCTTGGATCTCAAGTTATTATTTTTGGAACAAGGGTACATGAAACTTTTAACTTAGTGAAATTTTGCCTTAGTTTAGGCAGGATTTTGACCTATCTTCATGGCAATTTTTCACATAGTTCCACTTGGAATCTCAAAATTCATTTTAAATATGGATTGTAGAGCATGTTACAAGCTTTCCAAAATGTCTAAGAATTATCCAAAATCATTTATGGTTAGGGAGAATCGAAGGTTTGAATTTGGCAAAAACTCACTTTGATCTATGGCATTTTCATGTTGACACAAGTTGCAAAATCTGTCCAACTTTGCTTTGTACTTGATTAAAGGTCTCTAAACCCTTCCACACTCAAAAATTTAATGCAAAATCATTGGTTTAAGGCATTATTCTGATCATTAGAGGTTCACACATTGAATTAATCTTAAAATGGCAAAAAGGTAGCATTTCCATTTTCATAAAGTTGGCTTTATGTCAACTTGCTTCCCTTGAGCCTTGGACCTCTCTCTTTGCAGAAAACAAGTTCCATAAACTTAGGCAAAGGTACAACCATCTTGTGCATGCTTGGAGATATCATGTACAGGGCTATCTTGTATCACTTCACACTTTTCTTTCAAAACAAGTCAACTTGCCAAAATCACATATCTTGAGTATCTGATATAACCAACTCTTGTAAGAATTTGAAGCAAGCTTTTCACATTGCCTTGAGTCAGAAACACGAGCTATCCATCCCTCAAACACTCTTGAACATCAAAACACATTCCTCTTGCAAAACAGGGCAGCTTCTGCATTTTGATTGCAAGATCACAAACCACTCGTGCGTTTTGTCCCAAACCAGTTCCAATACCTTCCATATAACCCACCTAAGCTACCCCAACCATTGGCCATTGACTGTAACTCCATTTGCAAGCTTCACCATTTCTGATTTCAGCTTGTGTAGGTTGACTTCTACAGGCTTATTCAAGCAAGCTCAAAGTAAACAAAGCATTGGGGAAGGTTAGAGGAAGTTCAGGCAAGCTCAAAAGAACCTCAGGCCTCACTGAAAGTTGCCACATTGCCATACTCGTGTTCAACTGAAACAGGTATTTTCTAACTTTCTATCTCTCTATTTAGGAATCATTAGGCTTAGGTTTGTGAATAAAAAATGTAGTACTCATAGCCCTTAAGTTGTACATATGCATAAATTTCATTTAAGTTAAGTGTGCTGAGAGAATTTGATTGATGAACATTCTGAAAAAGTTAGGTTAGAAATTAGGGCCAGAGAAATTCTCTCTGGTCTTTGAGAGTTAGATTAAGTTTTTTATATGGTTAGAATCGTATGATCATGCTCTATAACTTTCATGTTGCAAGTTTTCGTTTTTAAGCACAAATGCAGGAGATACGAGTTTGTACACAGAAGGCGCGTGTTTTATTTGAACGAAGGTTGAAGATGAAGTAGTTGGACTGGGCCTGGCTTGTTCTCACTTTTGGCACCCCCCAGCTTGCTGATTGCACCCCCCGGGCCCATTTCATTATATTTTTATATTTTTCTATTTCTTTTTCATTTATGATTTTATTTTATTTTTTCTAAACATAAAAAATTACCAAAAACATTTTCATAAATTTTCACATTTTATTTTATTATTTTTATTATTTTTTCTAACATAAAAATAATTATTAAATAATATACTTTTATTTTCTTTAATAAAAACTTATAAATAATACATAAAAATATTATATTTTTATTTACATACTTAAATAATATTTTTTCTAAAATATTTTTATTCTTTGACATTTGTATATATTTTATTATTTTATTTTGTTGTATATAAATAATATAACTAATATATATACTTTCTTAACATAAATTAGGGTTTTACCCTTAACAAAAATATTTTTTTTATTTTCTTTTTTAATATATTAAATATTATATTTTTCTCACACATTTTATTTTCTAATATTTTGTATATATTTTATTTTATTTTATTGTACATAAATAAATAATACATTAATATATATATATATATATATATATATATATATATATATATATATATATATATATATATATATATATATATATATATATATATATATATATATATATATATATATATATATATATATATATATATATACTTTCTTAAAACAAATTAGGGTTTCCACCCTTAATAAAAATAATATTTTATTTTCTTATTAAATATTATATTTTTACATACATAAAAAATATCAAAAATATTTTTTTGCATATTTATAATATTTTGCATATTTATATTTAATTGCTTATTTAAATATTGTTTATTTATCATTTGAGCAAGGAAATTCAATTTGGTTGTAATAACTTAGGGTCTTAATTTCTTGCAAATAATCCCCATTCAAAATTGTATCCCCCTCCCCATATCAATGTTGTAATAGCTTAGATTACTTTTACGCATTTATGCTTTCAAATATGCCATGATAGAGATTAGGGTTTGTATGCAATATCCAAAATCAAAACAAATAGCTAGACCTAATACAAGACATAAAATGCATGAAATTGATAACACAATGCACACAAGCATCCCTAGGGTTTC